AATTGTATAACTCACATTTCAGTGGACCCTGCACTTCTGAGTGCTGGAATGACGATGCAAGGCTTGGCAAAAACAAGGGAAAATGTAATGTGAAAATCTGTAACGACTGTACCTGTTTGAGTACTGCTGCAATTGAACTGAAGCAGTACACTTGAGAAGAATATGACTTTTCAAAACTGGGAAAAGCATTAGAGCAATGTGATACCTGAAGTATGAATCCAAAGAAGAAAATGTAATTTTTATGTGGAATTTCTCCCTGCATCTAGAGTAGAATTGCTTAGTGGAATGTTTCTAAAATACTAAGCATTACAGAGACATGTTTAAAGTTAAAAAAAGTATCCAGACACTAATTTGAAGCAACAATAAGTTTCTGGTCAGAAGCCAGTGAGGGATTGAAGATGTCTTGAACGGTGGTACAGTGGATGGGGTCTAACCTGCAGGCAGGGAATAGTTAATTATTATACAAAGTTAATTTTTATACAAAGTAGAGACACTTTAGCAAGAGAGATGGCAAGAATTCCAGTCCAACACACCCTACACACACACTACTCTTGGAGTACTATTGTGTAGGAAGCCAGGAGAAAGGGCTTTTTGCACTTCCCAGGCTTTACAAAATAATAGGGAGATGTGTCCAGAGTGGGTGAGGCACTCTGGACTTTCAGTGGGTGTTTTACTTCCCAAGTTCAAAAGGAATTTTGTGGTTGCAGGGTATTGGGGGTTGACTTCTTAAAAAAATCTGAATATAGACTATAATGGGGTTTTATTATATTTTCAATAAAGTTAAATAGATGAGGGAGAAAATTCCTAACAAATGTTGACCATAACATCAGCAAGCAAGACATGACAGCCAAGGCATGGTAACTATCAAGGTACCATTAATCTTAAATAAAAATGCTCTTATATTTTTCTTTTTTCTTTTCTTTTTTTTCTTTTTTCTTTTTTTCTTTTTTACTCTTTTTTATTTTTTTCTTTTCTTTTTTCTTTTTTACATTTTTTTTTCTTTTTTATGAGTGGTACTTTTAGTACTAAAATATCCAAAAGTGAAAACTGTCAGATGGAAGTGCAAAGAATAAAGGACGAGTAAAACATGAAAGACCTGGAGCTCTTATCACGAGTTTGATGCTCTGCTATCTGAGCAGAATGTACCTCTAAATAACAAGCTTTTACTTGGCTCACTGAGCGACTCATTTTGTGACAGACTGGATAGTGCAGGTTATTCTCCATAAGAATGTGAGCTGATGTGAGACTACCCCTCTATTAAGCATTTGCTTGTCAGCAGGCTTTTATTTAGTCCCTTTGCACAGAAGAGGGAGAAAATAAATAATGACAGTAAAAAGAAACCTTCCTTTGGTAAAAACTAAAAATTAAAACTCCAGTGGATGCTAAGGGACTAATTTTTAAAATATACAATAGGTATATTCACTGCTGTTCTTTCAGCATTTCTATTTAACATTCATATTTAATAAGTTTTTTCCCTAGTTTATTTTAGATCTATAAAGTTTCTAAATACATCTGTCCTGGCAGTGTGTTGGAGTGGGGAAGTACACGCAAAAGCCATTCACTCTGTGAACAGAAAATATTCACAGTTCAAACCATAAAGTGTCATAATTGTGCCAGAGCAGGAGCTGGATTCAGCCTGTCATGAGTTAATGCCAAAGCCATTTTTGTAGCCACTATTTGAGAGAGAAGACATCTTAATTAAACTCTGCCTTTGTTGAGGACATTAGAAAAGCTACTGACAGAATGTTCATGCTAACTGCAATCATGCATCCTGCCATCACCACTGACAAAGAAAAAAAGCAAGAAAAGTGGGTTGCAAGTGGCTGCTGTCACACAGATTGCTGTGAAAAAGAGGCTTGAGGAGCTGTTGCTTTGTCCATTCAGTATGGCTTTGAATTTTAAGATACAACCTCTAATACTGACAAGTCAGAATAATTTTTCCCAGCGAAGGGCATTGCTGACATGTCACGCTGAACTGTTCATCCTCAGGAGTCAAGGCACAAAAAAAGATTGATAAAAATCATTAGGAGATGTTGAACTGTTCGATAATTTTTGATGCATGGTAAAGTTTGCTTTTTTTATGGTTTCATTTCCCCTGAAATAAAGGTGGTTTAAATGAAATAGGAATTATATTGTTCACAAAATAACATTGCTGTAGCGGCTAGGACTTAGAGAGAACTAATAGCAAAACTTCTATGATAAAATCATGAGAGCCGGGAGCTCTTTGGTGAGGTTGTCTGCTCTTATCCTGTTTCTGGTTTATTTTATTGCTGTATTTTCTTGCCTATATCTTTCTCTGTGGGAAGATAAAAGCGAGTATAGGGGTTAAAGGGTAGGAATAAACTCTGGCCTGTCTGTCTGTCTGTCTGTCTTTGCGCTGTGGTGAGAGTTAAAAACAGGTGACACACCCAGTACAGCTGTGGACAGGCACCACCAGTCTTCTGCTGTTGTTTCTGGGCATTGCTGCTCATTCCTGCTGTCTAGCAGACAGAGAAAAAAACAATAAAAAAAAATCTAAAAGTGTGGTCAACAACAATTTGAGAAACTCATTTGTAAATCATCTGAAGCTAAGACTGTTCCTGTAATATTATTAAAAGACAAAAGGTAGATAAAATGCTGCAGAAATATTGGGACTAGCAGATTTCTCTGCTTGCTGCTCAGGTGTCTCAAAAAGGACATGAAAGGGTAATTTATCATTCTGCAAGGAGAAGAGATAAACTTCCTGCCCAACAGGATTGTCTGCTTCATCTTGGAGATACTTACCTTGAAGCTGTATGGAGTAGTCTTTGTGACTATTGCTTATTATGATTTGCATCAAGATTGATGTGTCATTTCACTTTCATTCAGATATAATTTTGGATAGCTGGTAAAGCAGGGTTAATTTTAAAGAATGCTTTTGATGAAAACAAATGAATGATTATTAGAAAGTACATTTAATTTTGCCAATTTAATTCTGTCAATTTAGAAAAATGAATGGAATGAGCATAAACAGTGACTTTGAAAGTGACTTCTAAGTTTGACATTTTTCCCTTGAAGCAGTAGATGTAAACAGCTGGTGACAGTGAGTTGACTGTACTTTGCCTTCCTATGAAACTTCTTTCCACCAGAAAATGTTGATAAAAAGGCATTTATTCATGATTCCTTGGGTATGGAAAGTGTTTTTCGAAATGTTGATACTTTTCCTATAAAATTTTTTTAAAGATCTAAGTTTTAATAGTATTTTTATTATACTTTTATTTAGTCTTTAAAGATACCTTTTTAATGGGTGTTAAGCAAGCATGTTTAAAATTGTCAATTTGAAGTACACATGGAAAGCATACATTGACAGGAATAGTGCCTGTGTAAAAGGAACTCACTTTTTTTTTTTTTAAATTATGAAAATACTTTTGAAGCACCTGATGAAGTTGATGACAACAGTACCTTCAAATGAATTGCAGTTTAACATGTTTAAAATTTTGAAATATATTTATTTCTGAGTATTCATATATAAAGATAATCTTTTGATAATGTAAAAATTAACAGAAAGTACAATTTTCAGTTAAATTTTAAAAATTTAAGTTGTAAAATGCTTATATGTCGATCTTTGATTGTCCATATTATTTATTTCCATGCCTCAGAAGTCTTATAGTGTTACTATTTATAGTAACAGTTTTTAATTATATTTACAGTTTATCTTGTATTTTTAATTTAGATGGGCTTATTGTTTAATACGACTTTGTAATTTGGATATTCAATAAAAACTCAACATTTGCAGGATAATTTCATAGAACTGAGCCTCTATAGAAATTTCAGTACATACCATTTAGAGGCAGTTTTGTTTATCACTGTTTGTTTTCATGTCCCCCTAGGATACTCTAAGTAACCCAGCATGATTAATTGTGAGAGCAATTATACACAAATTTTGTATTCTGCCCGCAGGCTTGCATGAACATACTTTCTGTCTTCCTTCAAAGTTCACATGTTTATTTTATTATGTATCTGTTATCAAAGTATTTATGAATTTCATTAATTATTGCAGAGCTAAGCATGATATGATATGATACAGATATTTTAATGCCAATATTCTCAAAGTTTATGTACTGGCTTCCTGGAACTGGGCCTCACAGTTAATGTGTAACAGTATTAATACTGATATCATACAGAAGTAGTTCTGCTGAATTTTTTAAAGATGCGATGCCTTCTTTCTCTGAACCAGTTTTGCAACAGCTCAGTTTGTGATTTGGTGAGGCAACATCTGTGCTGTGAATCAAAAAGTTTGTGACTCGGCACTCCCTGGCCAATTCTTGGCAATTTTCATAAATGCAGAGTATTAAATGGAGTACCATCATTGTTCCAGCTACCTGGATTTCCCGTAGCTTTAGCTTACTGCGAGTTTTTTCAGCTTTTTCTTTCTGCTGAAGAAAGATTATGTCTTGCCCTGATTGTGGGTGTTATTCCCTGGGGAGTGGGAGAGGGCAGATGAGTTGGATCTACTTCTAGCTTGGTTAAATTATTCTGAGAACTTCAGATGGTACTGTTGCAAATTACACCAGATAAGTTTACCACTTTTGATAGGAAAGGAAACCTACCTTGTCCCCCCAGTTTCCTTAAAACTTATATGCAGTACAATAAGTTGCTAACATATATGAAACCAGTAGGGTTTTTCAAATGGTTTGTTAGTTTCTATAATGGGCTATATTGTTTCTGAAGTCTAAAATGCTTTGCAGGGCTTAATATGGTTTAAGCTTTTGACTGGGTATTTCGGGTGTTCTTTTTTTCTCTGTTTTACCTGTATTAATTGTAATGAAGGATGTTGGAGGCAGAGAACAGGACAAAGAACTGACCTAACAACACTCTGCAGAGATATTTTTTTCTCCATCTCCATCAGCACACATCCTGTTGTAGTACTTACTTTTAAGACAGCATTGCTGCTTCACCAAACATCCTCCTACAGTGAGAGAAGTAGGGATAACTCTTGGAAAAAGTTTTGAGGCTAGTGACAAAATATGTTTGTCTTTCAGATCCCCAGCTCAAGGGTATAGTGACCAGGTTATATTGCAGGCAAGGCTACTACTTGCAAATGCACCCCGATGGAAGTCTCGATGGAACCAAGGATGACAGCAGTAATTCTAGTAAGTGACTGCCCCAGGGGAATGTCTTAATCGCACACGCAGATCGCATCGCTCGAATGTGTTTGCACAGGCACCGTGTTAATGCCTGCCTTTGGAGGGTTTCTGAGTGTGTTTTGTCCCAAGGAGGAGGGTTCTGTCTGCTCCAAGCCTGATGTTCCACCAGCATGGCTCGTGCAGGACATTGGCCTAAATGTGTTGCCTCTGAAGGGGAAGGCGTAGGTGCTAATGGACCTTAGGAGGAAGATATTTAGGCCAATGAATGTCTTCTGGTAATTTTATAAAAGTGGTAAAATTATATTAAAATATTTTTTTTTATAAAAACTCTACATCTAACAAAAAATTCGTATCTTCCAATAAATAAAAAAAAGAATTAACAAGACATGGAAACTAAATTTCTCAGAAAAAATCTGAATTTACAAGCAAATAAATGTATGCTAAACTACCAAAGACCTTTATAAAACACATGCTAAATTACCTTGCTGAAGGTACTAAAAATTTTGGGGCTAAAATCCTATGCCAGCCAGAATTTCAATGATGTTAAGAGATTTTCTGCCACTGTAGAGATGACAAAAGTGGCAGTTTTTAAAAATGTTTCAAACAAAAGAGGTCTTGAAAGGCCGTGTGGATTGCTGCTTTGGTATGCTTTTCATATGATACTGCTACGTATTTTTGTTCAATGAGCATATATATATATATGTTTGATAACTTCAGCTGCAGATGGTAATTAAACAAACCTGTTCTTACTCTGGAAACAGTTGATTTGTGTTTTGTTTAATTATCATGACATATTTAAGTAATATTTCTGTGTCATCTAGAATTTTATTTTAAGCACTTTTAATACACAAGATTTTTCTTCTTATTATGCATACATAAATAACCCCTTCATTTCATTAAAAATGTTGAAATTAGGCTGGAGAAATTAAGGTATTTTAGGTTTCTGACTTACATTGGTAAGGTCCCTATTTTAATTGATGCATAGCTGTCTTTTATAACACCTTTCATCAGCAGATAGCATGATCATCTTGTTTGTTTCAGAGGGTTTTTTTAATTGAGAAAAATCGGTTAATTAATATATTTTTGTGTGTATCTCTGCTTGTTTTCCAAGTGGTTTTGTTCCCCTTTCATGCCCTCCCCATCCCACCCCCATCCTTGTTTCTTTTCTTCCCTCTGTTTCCATTTCTCATGCCCACTTCAGTACTGGAGTACATATGAAGACCTTAAACAGGACAAGATTATTCTCACTTTTTACAGAAGTTTTGCCTAGGTGAGGTCTAAGAACTGTCTTAGGGTACAAGTGCCTATCTCTCTCCCTCTGCCCATCTCTCTTATTTTCAACTTCAGCACTAAGGTGTGTATGACTGCAACAATTTTGTAATGCTTTTTTGTTATTTCTGAGAGATTTTTTAACTCTTGGATCTCTGTGGATTTGGAGTCTTTTCAAAGCTATACCACAGTGCCTTACTTTGCTCTTTTTGTTGTTGTCAGCTTCACAAATTGTCCTCTTTTGGTTTCTTTTTTACTCTTTCTCTCTCCTCTTCTATGCATTTCTGATTTTCCAGCTCTCTGCCCATCTCCCTTATTCTTCTTTGTCCAAAACGTAGAATGAATATTCTATATAATAAATAATCTGAAATTTTTAACTTCTCCAAACTTAACAAAATACTATACAAAATATAGAAGTATTATATAAAGTATATAGAAGTATTATATAGAAGTCTATATAAAATATAGAAGTATTGTGAATTTTGCATAAATATTGTTAGATAATTTGGTTTACTCCAAAATTATTTTTTTGGTAAAAAGGCGTGGAGTAGGTTTTTTTTTTTCCAGAAAGGCTTTTTTTTTTCTGTCTTTAACTGGTGGGATTATTTTTTTCATAACTACTCCAATATTTTTTAGTAAAGACAGTTCAGAACAGAAGTATGTAAAATTAATGTGTTTGTCAGGAAGCCCTACAGTCTACTTCTGAAATTGTGTTCGTATATATGAATCAACACTATATTAAGAGCTGAAAAGATTTACCTATTTGGTATATTCATTATTGTATGAATATATGTTTGTTTCTTCTGTGCTGCCAGTCTTAGTTTTTTCCCTTTCCACTTTGTTGCCTTTAATTTCCTGTTGAACTTTTCTTTTCCTATTGCTTTTGTTTATTGCAGCATGTGTTGTTTTTCCTTCTCTCTTTCACTTTAAAACAATCATCTTCTCATGGGTGGAATTTCTAGTGTTTGATATTTTATTTTGTGAACTCCTTAGCATGATAATTTCTCTCTGAGGCTTATGAGTGAATGACTTCCGGCAGCTGCCCAAGGGAGAAAATTCTGCTTCTGACCGTGATGCTTGCAGGCTGCCTGTTTAATGTGCCCGGTGGCTGAAGGGAAGGACAGGTATCAGCTGTCCATAGGACAGATAGAATACTTACCTGGATGGTGAGGATGACTTCCATTCAAAGTGTATTTTCATCAAAAAAAGGAAATACAGACTGCCAAAGGGTGTGCATCTCTGCCAGCCTTCCACCTTGTCTTCTGCTCTATTCGCTGTCCCTGAAGAGAGCCCACAGAGTAACTGGGTGTCAGAGGAGCCAGAAAGAGAGAGGAGCGAGGGAGAGAAAAAAGATGCAGTTTCTTTTTTGTCTTCAGCAGGGAAGCTGTTTGAAGCTTAGTCATGCTGCTGCTTTTTGTGCTGTTGCCATGTATTTTTGTGTCAAGCAGTTAGAGAAGAAGTACTTGAAGTTAAAATTCCCTCAAGTGCCTGTATCATTTTGTACTCATTTCACATGTATGTCAGTAAACATAAGTTTGCACGCTTTTGGAGTCACAGTTATAGAGAGGTAGCTCAAACTAAGATTAAGATTTGCTTCTATCTGGAGTCAAAATGAGTTGTACCAGTGGTTTTAATCAGCTGCTCATTATCCCAGTTTGAATAAGGTTAGAGACTGCAGAGAGAGATGACAAGATTTTTAGTGTATCACTGTGTGCAAACACATGAAAAAGGAGGAAAGATGTGATGTGCAATTGCATCCCTGAATGTACTTTTGTCTGCTCATGTTGATGGCCATGATATTAGAACCCAGCCTAAACAGACCAACAGGTTTCAGTTCTTTGCTGTAATTTCTTTTTATAACTTTGCCAAGATAATGATGTCTCATGAAACAATGGTAATTAATGCACCTATTGGTTAATGGTGCTGAGTTTCCTTAAATCACTTCACCAAATCAAAGCTGTTATCCAAACAATATTGTGTGTACAGTCTGTATTTATTTGTTTTTTGCCCCACTCTCAGTGATATCTTGTTTTAGCTGTTTGGTTTTTTTTTTGTTCTTTTTTTTCATTTAATTCCTCTAATGCCTTTCATTTCTGGTTTGCTTTTGTGTCTTGCTTGTAGCAAAGGCAGGAGTGATTGTGGTTAAAGCTGTGGCTCTGGTTACTGAGGTCCTACTCATTCTAGCTGTCACACTCACTCTAATTTTCCTGGATTTTACAGGTGCAAATGTGGCTTGCTTCACTGGCCTCAGCATTATTAATTAGACAAAGCAAACTGCTACACAGAAATCATAAAGATACAAACTATTTCCATACGTGTAGTAACAAGCATTACATTCTCCTCCTGTCCTCCCCACCTAAAATAGGTCACTTTTAGGCTTTGGTCTATTTTCAGAATTTTGTCTCATGAATGAAGGGTTGTGAATAAAAGACTAATTAATTTGAGAAACAGAGAATTCCAACTTTTTAATTTCTGAGATTGAAAACCTGAATCTTTCAGACCTATATTTTGTTTTAATTCACCTAGAGTGTATCTTAGCCAACAACCACTGAAAAGATGCAGCGTAAATGACAATACTTTCCTTTATAGGTAACAAACCTGACTATAACACTCAAATGTTGCAATTTGTACCCCTTATGAAATTACAATTGTGTTTATAACATGTTTATAATATTCTCTAATTAAAAGAGCATTAATCATTGGTAGTCTTATTTCATAAACTGATAAATGAAAAAGTGAACATTATCCAGTAAATTTTGATTTGGCTGTGCTGTGCAAATCTTTTACTATGCTGCAGCATGCTTTACCTCCTTTGTGGTGCATGGTACCTGGTACAGTTGCTCTTCAAAAAATCCTGAAACCATTTAAAATTCCTTTATTTTCATCTTTTAATGCATGCTTCTAATGTTCTCTTTATATCTTCCAAATTGAATGTGGAAGTATTAACTTTTTTACCTCTTTATAAAATACCTACCACTTCATACCAGTTCATATTTTGGTTTGAAGATACTCATAAAATAACCTTTACAGCACCCTTGTATGGTAAAGGAGGTAATTAGATAGAAATAAAGCACATAAAGATTGGGAAAAAAACACCTGCAGTGCTGTTAAATTTGGATTAATTAATGTTAATTTTGGATTACTGCACTGAAATATCTGCAGCCTGATGCTTGCACTGGTTTTTACTTAAGTTTTTCCTCAAAGAATTATACAGGCATTTACTCCTCTATTTACACCGCCTCTGGGAGCTAGGTAAGCCTGTTTCTCCCATTGGGATAATCTTAGTCTGAAAGGTAAATGTTCAGTCATACTTAAAAAAAAGTTTTAATTATGTCTTCTGTAAGACTGGGCAGGTAGAATGGGTTTGCTCCATAAAAAATGGGTGGACAAGCCTCTAAACACCAAACTCTTTGCAGTCACTGCCAAGCTAAAAGATGCTTTGAATAAATAGTTGTCATGATCTGGTTGGAGATTGGGTGCTGTGGAAAGTTTTGTTAACTGTCACGAGGGCAGTGTGCGTGCAGAAGAGACTGCAAGTTCATAACTCTTTAGCAATCCATCTACAGCAAGATTCTTGAGAGAAGCAGTCATCTGTAATAGCAATTTTCTTGTAGCTGCAAGTCAGTTGTACCTAAATAGACTTTCACAAGTATATGGAAATATCTGATTTCAGGCAGTTCAGATATCAAGTTAATGGACAGTGTTGGTATACATTAAAAGAAGGAAAAAGTTGTATGGTGGTTTTGTGTTTGGCTCAAGAAAGGAGTGATTGGTTGTAAAAAAAGTGGACTCAAACATTTGGTAAAACTGGATTAGAATCCAACTCAGATTTAGAGTGCCTGAAAGTCTCCTCCATGAAACCTAAGCAAATAACCCTCTTTCATGCCAGTTGTTCCTGCTAACTGCCCCCAGCCCCATTTTCTGATCTTTTTTGTGGTGGGAGTAGGCTTGCAGGCTTAGGAAAATGAGAACACAATGCTTCATTGCTGTGATTTAGATAAAGACAAAGCAAAGCAAAGGAGTGCACACAGTCTTAGCACCAAGGAGAAAGGGTTTTACTTGCACCATTTTTGCCAATCAGTTCCCTTGTCTTCCCTGATGCTCCCACATCTTACTTATATTTGGAATTGCCAGGCTTTCTACTTAAGCGTGCAACATGGGAACATTGAGCACCAGGCACTGCTGTATTTCCTGGGCTGTTGGAGTGTGCCTCCCTCTCCTCAACTTATCTATGGCCTCACAGAACTGACTTTAGGTACATAAAGTTGTTCAGGAACCTCACTTCCCACTCCCCAAGTTTTCATTTCAGATCATTTTCTGAAACAGAGAGAGAAGCAGGGGACATGGCTCTTTTTAGTGACCTTCTCAGATAAGAGTGTAGGTTTGGCTGTGCAGAATTGGAATGCCAGAGCTCTCTAGAAGACTTTCTGCTTTTCTTAGAGCACATTTTTTACTAGAGTGAGGAATAGCACAGGTAAATCCTAGGAATGTGTGAAACGTTTAATTGAACACAAAAGTCTTGCTCAGTAAAGAGCACTGCCCAGTCAGGTTCTGGAGGAAATCGAATTTCTTTTGGCCTGCTTCAAAGTGCATTAAAACCACATGCTGTTCCTTACTGGTGCATGTTTTGCTGACCCCAGTATGAAGCACATTGCTGAACATTTGTCAATCAATAGCTGAATGTAGACTGGCCTCCCTAGTTCCACTCAAGTCTAAAGGATTCTGTGAAGCTTATTGACTATTCTGAATGTACAGAATTGCAGCATTCCAGGTCACACTCTAAAATTTTGGGTGTTGAGATTAATTGCAGGAGCTCTGAAAATCTCCAATTAAAATTTGGTGGCAGTAAAAGATGCATTACATGCCCTCCACAGTGCTTTCTGAATTCATCAGCGACTATAAGCCACTTCAGTAACTTTACAGATTGCACAAAACACTGCTGTGCTGCAGGTGTGTAATTCTTGTTCAATGGTGGTTGGATTAATTTATTTTTTTTTTTAGCTTTGGTGCTTTATTTTTAGTATTAAAATGGCAAATAATATCTACATTTCAGAATTTTTGACTGAACCACTTTGACTGGGAGTTATTTTTCATTAGCTGACAGTCCTCATGGCTGACTTGTCTTTTGTGTTCACCTCTTTTCTTTTTATAAGTATTGTTTGTTTTTCCTTCCTGGTGTCTCTTCAGTTGTTTCTTCAGTCCCTTTAGCATGGTGTTCATATGGAGATTTGCTCCTGCAATTTTTTTCTTCTAGGAAAAAATCCAAACTCAATTGCTATCTGATACTTAGTTTTGCTGTGACAGACTCCCCCTCCACAACCCACAACAGTGATTTTGCTGGTTTTGACATTGTTTCATTTGAGGATAATGACCTTAACTAATTTTTGACTTCCAAATTATATTGAACTAAAAGCCCTCAAGCCATGCAGTGTTAAGCTTATATATTTTTAGGATATCTTTTCTCTGAGTGCCATATTTCACAGTTCTACATTTATTAGCGAGGAAACCTTATCTGTAATATTACAATATTACAGAATATACATCATTTTTTTGTAGTAAACAGCACTGCAATATCCTAATGTAAAGGAGAATTTTGGAAACGACAGAAATTGCAATGCTATTTATTTGTGCAAATTCTTCTTATCTCTTTTAATTTCTTTGTAAAGCTGCCAAATTGCTTTCAGTCCTTGTAGAGCTCTTTTGAATATATTTTTCTTTCTACCGCTCTAGGAAGAGCTCTGCTACAACTCCTAGCTTTATATTGACTTTGTGTATTCCTAAAATTATCTGATGTTACACATTATTTTTCTGCATAACAATGCTGAAGGAAAGGTGTCTCTTTTTTTTTAAACATGCTTATATTTCTGGTAGGTATTCCTACCTATGTTTTTTATTTTTCTCTCAGTTGTAGAGATTTGATCATATTGATCATAAACAAACTGTGGATTTTTGTCCTTTGACCAAATAGGAGTTTTCATAACTTCGAGAAATGTATTTATCCACTGCAATTACATGATCCTTTTTCTCTTGATTTTGGCTTTGGCTCTGGCATTCTGATTACAGATAGCCTCATACAGTACACTTCTTGGTCACACCTATGGATATCCTTCTTAAAGTTTGAGGAACTCACTGTAGATGCTACTGTGTTCCTGAGACCTGACTTGATAGAAACGTTCTCACTGCATATGCTGAACACACTGCTTGTGCTTTTGGTTTTCATCCCAGGACTTGGGAATCCTTGGCTCATCCAGAGTGGACAAACATTTGGCATGAACCCTGTCTCATCCAGGTCTTCTCTTCCAAGACTGATGTGCACTTTGCATCTAATTTTCTAGCATGAGTCAGTAAATGTAATATAGGCGTGTGCTGGCACAAGTTTTAGAAGAATTGGTTCATGCCACCTACTTATACAACTCGTGTTTTTCTGTGGTGAGGCTGGTAAACTCCCACTCTTCACACTGGTCTTTTTTTCAGACAGTGATCAAAGTTGTGGCTGTTTGGATTACTACAGAGGTATATAGTATTTCTAGGGTATTTGTTATTAGGTGGTTTCCTAATTATTTTCTAATTATTGCCCCGAGTTCTGTATTCTGTTCAGTAACATTTATGCACACTTAAAGTCAAGCACATATTTTAATGCTTTTATGAACTCTGATAAGCCTCTGTCATTACCTGACTCCAGTGTCTTACTGTTTGTATCATATATAACATTCACAAAAGAAAAAAAAAATAAAATCTGAAATAACCGATCTCTTGACATCAGTCTTTAATAAGGGCACCTCTTAATCAAAAACCTTAAAAATGCCCAAGAAAATAAAGAGCTACTTACCAGAATCAAAGAAGCAAGATTTTCTGAGTTGGTCTGATTTTAAAAGCATAAAAAAGTTATACAGTTATTTTTCTTTCTTCTTTTTTTTTGCTAATGATGTTTATTAGACTATTGTATTAACCACAGTATATTTATATCTGGGCATGTTTTTTCTTCACAGCTTTATTCAACCTTATACCAGTGGGGCTTCGAGTTGTCGCTATCCAGGGTGTAAAGACTGGGTTGTATATAGCCCTAAATGGAGAAGGTTTCCTCTACACATCAGTAAGTACCTTGCTGAACTCTCTGGAGGAGGCACAGTTGAAATCTACACAGGAATGAGACATGTGCCCACTTTCAAGAGGTTCTGTAATGTCTGTATATGTTGCACGCACTGCGCTCGTGTGGAGCGTTATCTATAGATCTATAAATGGGACACAGGAGAAATCACTGTGTACTACATATGAAAGTCTGGATGTTAACAATCCTAAAAAAACATACCATAGAACTCTTTTCCTGGCAGGGTGTAGGGGGAGAATGCCATATGCCAAAAAGATTATAATTTTCAATTAAATTCTTCAAAATTTTAAACTAAAGACCTGTGGTTACTTTCTTAGTGACTTGTTGATCAGAATCCAAAAACCGCTCCAAACGTTCTTTTAAATGATAAGATTTATGAGTGCAACTTCCATCTAAAAGGTCATTAACAGCCTTATGGTTTATCACCATATAACTGTATGTTTTGTAACTGTATGCTTATTGTTATTGATTTTTTTTTTTTATATCAGATATAAGGAAAATAAAGAGTTCTGTGAGGCACTATTATCTCTGTAGAATCATCAAAATTTAAAAAAAAAAATCTTTTGAGTCACAAAGAAGACTGCTGGATAAAGTGGCTGGAAAGACCTCAGATTGTTTGTGGTATTTCAAATGATTTGATGCTAATCACTCAGTGTGTTGTGAATATAAAATTCCTCAGTTTTGTATAAATTTATGGTCTTCCTTTGAAAGGCAAGCAACGTTAATGTGAACAGGCAGTTCTGTCAGGTATTAACAAGGTGGCTTAAAGAATTTTTCATTACTATATTTTTATTTACATCTTTGTTAAATTTATTTACATAGTGTTTTTTCCTCTTTTTACTTCACATGGTTCTTAATTCCCAGCTGAGTTACAATACACTGCTTTGTTTTCAATGTCCATTGAAAGCAAATTGGAAAGATTAAGTTTCTGATGCCTGAGGGAAAATATTCTGTTTGCTTCAAACATACAATTGTCTTGCAAGAGCTAATTAGGAAGAAAAAATGGAACAAATCTTGAATGCCAATGTCAAGACAAAGAAAAAATTCCTCCTCATAAAATGCCTGCTGGAAACTCCAGCAGTATCATCGACTTTTTTTTTTTTTTCATCATGCACCTTTTACATTTTTAAAAAAAAAAAAAAATTACAAATTTTTACATTTTTTACATTCAAAATAAGAATTCTATTACAGGAAAACATGCAAATTTGCTATCAGAAGGAAGAAAATATGAAGAAAGAAACCTTGAGCTATTAGAGAAAATGAATTACTCACTTTCCAGTTCCATCACATTGTGAGGGGAGTTAATTTCTGGATCATGGCATGAAGAGCATTATTTTTAAAGTGTTGGCACAGTGAAGAGTACATTCTTGCCCAACACTGTTCCTGAAGTGACTTCTCAGTCCTCCAGAAAGAAATACAAGTTTCAGAAGCTGTGCTGCTTCCTGATGGTTAATTTTGCAGGGGGACAAAACACATACAAATTGTGGTAGGCAATGTTTTATGTATTATTCTGGAAATGAATCAAGTTAAATGAAGTTAAGTGAGGCAAAGAAATGAGTGTTTTTATAATGTACTGCTTACTCTTCCTTGTACAGAGAATGAAAAATGAGTGGCTCGTTCAATGACAAATTTTAAACATTAGAAAACACAGCAGAAGACTTTGTTATGTCTACAAAATGATTTTCAACTTAAACTTTTGTTAAGTAGAAAAATAGTAACATTTGATCAAAAATTTAAAGATAGTGATTTCAAAACATCACTGCTGTAATAAAAGTTTGTTTATTTTGTATTAATGTATGGACAACACTGGTAATACATTTTTGTCTCAGCAAGTGCCTGCTTTCACCTTAAGGACTAATGCATTTGAATATAAAATAACGATGACATCAGAGAGAAGTCTGTGTTCTGAGGATCAAGAAATAGTGTATGCAGAATTACATATCACCATTTGTAGAAAAATATTTTTAACCAATCACTTTCTGTTACTGTCTTGGTGGGCTTTGTGACTCCTTTTTCACATCTGTGTATCTGTTGCACCTAAATGCAGAAGTTCTGTATTACATGTCCCATGTTTTTCCCTTGGTTATTTAGGAGAGAATGGGAGAAGAAAATTTTTTAAGTTTCATATGCCAACTACCATCACTGAAAAAGACTGCTGCATAATGGAAATGCTAGTTAAAATGTACATAAATTTATACTTATTACCAAGTTTTTATAAAGATTTAAAAAATGGAAGCATGCCCTGTAGACTAAGTAGCATTTTTAATCTAAGTTGAGACTGAAGTTGTGTATAGTCCTTCTCTGCAGAAAAGCTCAGTGCCCCCTCTTCCCACCACATTCATATTTGCAGTATATGAAACCTTTATCTTTCAGAATACCCTACATGGTGATGCTTCTCTTCAGAGACTGAAGGCACCAACTCAATTATTTTTATTATAAGGTTCACATCACATTGACTAATTAAGCAACAGCACTGACAGGAAAGGTATTATGTGTGAAGCTGCTGTGCATTCCTTAAGAAGAAAACGAAGGTACAGTGACAGACTGGTTTTGCATACAGATTATCAAATGAAAATTTACATTGTTTCTCACCTTTTTTTAAATCCTTTTTTTAATGTTTTTTTGCATTAGGTTGAGAGCTGCTCTTTTTCCCCCCTTTATTCTGCCATATATAAGATTTTTTCAACTATTTCTCAGAATTAGAACTAGAAAAGTGTGCAGACACTTCATAGAAGAGTGTTATGTTGTCAGTATTTCTTAAGACAGAAACAGGAGGACAGCAAATTGTGTAGGAAGATCAGTCTCGAGACCTTTTCATACCTATTTTGCCTGCTGCGGCACTTTGAGATTTGTATTCTGTCCTCTGAGAATAGGTTCTCTAACCTACACTATCAAAGTCTTGTCAAGTAAAGGAGAAGAATCTTTGGAGTTTGATAGGGTGTTTAAAATTCCTGAGAGAATTTATACTAATTTTTTTCCAAAATCATAACCTGATTTTTTTTCTATGCATTTAAAGTAATTATTGTAATACCATATTTAATTATTTTCTATCATGTGAAATATGAGAACAAGAGCCTTTTCATGGTGTGTTTTTCTCTGTTCTTTTCAGGGTTAGCTCACTTAAAGACTATCCATTAAGCTTACCTATTTTGAAGCTTTAGATTGCTGTCTCCAGCTTCATTTCTCAGTGTGTTTATATTCATATATACTTTAGATCTGTATATCAATATCTATCTAGTCATAAATAGGATAGATTTACCTACTGGAAGCTTCCCAGTTCTACGTGTATGTTAGTGAGCAATGAGAATTATAAAAGTGCATTAAAATTTATTTTAGATGGTTTAATGAATTGTGAATAATTTAATATTTATGACTGACTAAGTAACTGTGAAAGCTAGTTGGAGAATCTGGATTTTTCCAAAAAGAGCCATCTCAGTTACTAGCGAGGTTTTTGAAATTATAGTTATGGACTTCATATGTCAGAGTCAAAAAATCTGCCTTATTCCTTTCTTCCTTTTGAAAGGGTGAGCAAGATGAGGTTTCATTTCCAGTTTTTGTCTTGTCAAAATCAAAAGGAATGAAACTGGCTCCATGCACTGAAAAAGGGAGCACAGCTGCAGGGATTCTCCATGGGGAAGAGGTATTGCCAGCAGCAAGATGGCAGTGCAGTACTTGGCAGAAGCTTTTGTTGGGTCTGATGTTAATTTTGATCAGCTCCCTTTGCAAATGGTTCATTAGTTCAACTTCCTGGGGGCTGCAGGTTTTGTTTTGCTTCTAGGATTTCCTGCTATCTTAGCAGGAAAAACTATAATACTTACCAGGTAAAACTTATAATATGTTAGTCCATTTTATGATTCCTATTTTCCTGTGATGAGAATAGGGGAGTCTTCTGGATTTACATCAATAGATTTTTCTCCAGAATTATTTGATATGTCTGGGAGTGTTAAGAAGGTCCACTGGTTCCCTTTTTCATCATAGGAGCAGTCTGGCTCAGTACTATCTGTGTTTGGTATCAGAGCAAGAGAGAAGGGAAAATCCAAAATGTAGACAAGGAAAAATCCTCTCTAGAACATCTTAAACTTTGTGTGTTTTCTTCTTTGTGTTTCCTGTTTCACCATTTCTTCTACCGCTTTTCTGAGACCAGAGATGTGGACTAAAGCAGAGAGGAAGGGGTGCATGTGTGCTATTGTCCAGCAGCAGGTATCAAAGTCACAGGAATTCACTGCATGGTTTCTTAGTGAGACTGATGCTTTAAAAGATGACTGAGCCTGCAGTGCCAGGTCTGACCTCCCTGGTCCCCTCTTCCACCACTGTGTGCTCTGGTTCCAGAGGTCCTCTTCTGGGTAGTGGGAACCTCGCTGCAAGGATGTAGAAAGTCAAAGAAAGAGAAGAGAGACATGGCTGCATTTCTGTGAGGTTTTATCAACTTTTTGTAAAGTATTTCAGAATTAGGAATGTCACACTACAAACCTAACAGAATAATCTTCTTGTGAGATGGGGGTTTGTGCTTTTGATCTGCCACGGTACACAGTGTTGAGGGTGTTGGTTGGGGCAGGGTTTCTGTTGCAGTAAGACATCAGTCTGTGTCACAGCCTTCATGAAAGAAGAGAACATCAATATCTGTTGCTGAGAAGTGTATTTGTTCTATCGCTCTGGCAACTCTCACCTGAAATAAAAGCCTTTGAGGATTTCTCCTGACATTTCAGCAGCTTCCCAATGTCGTTATTTCTGCCACTTCTTTAAGCCCACATAATTGACCTCTCTGAGGAGAACAAAATTCAGCCTCAAGGAAGAACATAGGAGCACCTTCAGTGAAGCCTGGAAAAGTGAGAATTAAAGTAGTCTGTATTTCTAATATTCAAATCAAAGTCAAATGAAAAATAAATTTTGTCTAGCTTTTCATAGAGCCTCACTTTATGCTTTGGAATAGCAAAGCTTTGCATGTGCAGTATTTTGAATAAGGTGCATAAAACCTTGTAATAAAC